CAAACAGCCTGCTTCACTAATTTCCGTGCTGCTACTATGCAGCACTCACCGAACTAGCGATTAATGCCAGTAAGACTTCCCACGCAGACAAGTGCTTAACGCGTAGTCCTTCGCAAAGGCGACCAAAAAACTGATCGCGTCAATGCGTCTCGGTACTTGGGTTTTACTATTCTACCTAAAGAAGAGACTGATCTTCATATCGACACAGTCAGACATGCCTTTGTGCAACTTTCGAAGGCCTTATGGAGAAGTGCACAAAAATTCGTGCATTCAAAGCAAAGATCCGCCCACCAGTAATCCATGGTTTTGCAACTTGACCAATTCACATGCAAGAAGTTCGCGAACTCGATGTTTTTGCCATTGGTGTCTAAGAGTTATTACGAACATTCTACGGCTCTACAAAATATATAACTCATCGGTTAGGGAACTTCTGCAGGCAACTGCTTAGCTGCGATGACCTGTGGTTCGACCATGCTATTTGAAACTCCGAAAGCTCACCTCACAAGCTTGCGACGATTCATTCACCATGTCCAGGGTGGCTCTAGCGTCCTGAAGGGCATCTGCGAACTTGAATCGATACCGTCAATTTAGATTTGGAGGGTACAGGTTTCAACCTTACATGCGGATCTGAGTCTGTAGGGACTTAACCTATCGTCCATGGGCAGCAACAATATCGGATATGTGTGAAGCTGGCTATCACAGTAGACAGTCACCGTGAAGTAGGTAAAGGTAAGTACCTCTCGAGACAGCCATCCTGCGTGAGAACTATTGATACATTTATTCCGCAGAGGGTCTCACCTACGACCGGTTTCTTGATTTGGTTGCGATGATTACCTGCTCCAACAGTTTTATCCATCCCATGAGCTTCTTCTATCCACAGGAACCTTCTAAACCATCTGACTCTTCAATATTCGGTAGTTTGGTGATCAGAGTGGACCGTAATTGTTATTCACTGTTATTATGGCTCTCTAGAGTTAGAGCTACTAATCGTGATGATATTCACCGTCTACTCACACGTCGGATGACTTCGCCCGATGGCCTCGCCAACTAAACACTGCCCCAGTGGCACAGTGGTAGGGTTGAGCGCTGTAATGATCCAGCAGGCCTATGGTCAGAAATTCGCTCCACAAGGTTAAACGATACCAGAAAAGTCAGGCAGTCAGAAAAAGATGAACGATTCTTCTTACTGCTAATGGCTGCATTACGGGACGATCTGGAGGCCAGGTCGTGGTAGGTTTGGAGAAAGGTCTACCCCGGAAGAATAGTACGCCCATATTTGTGGAAGCAACGCCTCCTCCGGGGAAAACAGGTTTGAAAAGACTAACCCTAAAGGTCGTACGCCCCGATGTTCCCCCATCATTCACCGACCAAACATCTACGAATCCTCTCAAGTAGGTCAGTTTACCAACTCACAAACCTTGCATCGAAACGCAGTGGTTCCAGCTGCTACAGCTTGGCGAAGCATCGGTGTTGAACACTGATGTCATGCTGTCGATGATGATGATGGTGATGACAGCTTGGTTCGCTGAAGATTAGGAGAATGTGGAACTGAGAGCCACGCGTTGGAGGCGATGGCCCAATCAGTTCATTAACATCGGGTGGTTCTGTTTGTCTGGTGTGGCGAGAGCTACGCAGTGAAGGGGACGACTTCGACGCATCAACGCTGTTGGCTCCAAAACACAGTCATATCTGTTATGATCACCAACCAATGGCTTGTCATTTCCCGCAGTCACCATTCGCAAGCTGGCATTTAACAACGAGACTAAGTTTACTGGTGAGGTATTTCACACCACGAGCCATTGAATCAGGATCTCCAGACATCCGAATAGCAAACGGCGATAAATGTAGGTTCGCCCCGAGCGGTTTGAAACAAATGATCGAGCTGGAGTTTAATATGCGTGTTTCGGAGACACAACATACATTGATCGAAAATGAGAACAAGGTCTGAACAAGAGCTACCTGTTAGCCGATTGGACGCTGAAAGCAGGAAAGTGGAAAAGATTCCTAGAATTCAGTAAGGTTACTATTTATTCACTTCACTTGGAAGAAGCATAAAGACGGAGTAACAGTTGGATGATCGACAGCTAAATGAGCCAGAATGAGGGATGTGTGGAGAGCTGTCCGTAAAAGAAGACGTATAGAAGCGAATAAAAATCCCTGGTTGCCCACGCCGAAGTTGTTCTGGAATTTCCAGGGCAAGGAGTTTGTCAAAACCTTTCACTTTTGTTAGTGTTCTGTAATTTCCATGGTATACAGGTTATCAGAAGCCTATCAGGTCATCAAAAACCGATATCTTCACATGGCTCGGTGGTTAAAACGCGAAACTAATGACCGTGGTTCGAACCCAATCTCCGCATCCCGGTCGCTCCTCTCCAGGCTTAGACCTGGCAGTACGCCAATCCACATGCTTCCTTCCAGTGACGTGGCAGCTAAACACCGAAACGGTGTTGCAGCCGAACGATTATTATTATTGTTATTATTACTATTGCTATCATCATTATACTTGGGACGAAGGAGAGGGTTTGGTTGAGGTGCTCCACCTTGAGCTTTTGACTCAGAAGTTTGAGGTATAAGGCAGTAGGAAGATGTAGCTTTGTGCGGGGACCATTTCCCTAGCCTCTGACTAAAAAGTATGAACCCCGAGACAGTGGTTATTAGGGTACTGTTGAGTGACGCTTCCCGTAGTCAATGATTTAGTAGTCTGACCCACTCGGCTGCAAAGAGTGCACCATCGAAAGAAATGTTCGAGAAGAATATTACCTCTGTGTTGCTTTTTTGGAGGACTGCACTGACTAATGCTGTCTGGATGATATCGTGCCACGTGATTCAAACCCTAACGAAAGACGCAGTACACTTAAGTGTACCTAACCATTGGTTTAGGGATTCACTTTGCAGCATCAGAATGCGGAATCATACTTCCGGACTGCGTAAACACACTGTCCCATCCAGTTGTGACAGGCCTACCCACATTACTCCTGCAACGTTAGAAATGTCGTCAGAAACCTCGGAGGAACGTTTATCGTTCAGCTGTGGCACTCTTTCGGTGCACAGAAGCCATGAAAATCGAAAACACTAGATACTATCAGGTTTCCAAGCCAAGACAGAATCAGTCGTAATAATAATAATAATAATAATAATAATAATAATAATAACGTCAAGCTGCAGCATCCTTTCGGTGCCTAACTATCGGGCCACCCGAAGGAAGCACGACGACTAGGATACTGCCAGGTTGCCCAAGCCTAGACAAGAGAAGTCGAGAGGCGGAGGCTGTGTTCAAACTACGGACCTTCCGGTCAGTAAATTCGCGCACTAGCCACTGAGCCACCGTGCCCCATATTTAAAACAATAAAAAATCATTTAGCTATGACATTCTTCCGGTGCCTAGCTGGCATGCCAAGTGAAGGAGGCTCAAAGGATGGGATACTGCCAGGTTAACCAAGCCTAAACACAAGCAGTCGAAATGCTGCAGTTGGGTTAGAACCACGGACCTCCCGGCTCGTAAGCCTGCGTCTTAACCACTGAGCTACCTCGAGCTCGGAACGATCGAAAAACCAAGATTAGCTTCGAACCACGGAGTAGCAGCAATATGGTGTTTACCGACTGCATTGACGTAGACAAAATTGTACAGTTTCCCAAATTTATCACAGGTGGAAACAAAACGGGTCGCTTTGGAGACTGAAGACCAGATTCTTCGTACCAAGTGTAGGGGCACATGGAGGAGGAGATCGTAACTTTAAGTACTCAGCAAGTCAATCGACTCCTTTCTATCTGGTTTGCAGCTTTCATGAATAATGAACCATCTGAGCTACTGAACAAACCCAATATTAAGATGGGTGGCCGGGACCGAAGAATGCCCATGCGACTTCTCACTGTTATTGTAGCTTTTTTTGAATTTTCATTGGTTCATCAAGGAGGTTCGTCTGAATGCGTGTCTTCTGCGCTTCAAAAATATTATAAACGCCCGACAATCCTTCATGTACCACAGTTACACATCCAAAAGGAAAAGCGTCATTATTTTACACTAATTCTGCATGGCAAAAGAATTTTTCTCTTAAAAGCGCTGTCGTGACTTTTGATTTTTCACTATTAGAAACTTGGGGACAGCAAGTCAATCGCTGACGTTAGAACAGTGGGATGGGGGAGTTTGTTTGGAATACACGTTAAACCTAAGGGTACGAAAAACAAGGTGATCCATAAAGCTTTCTTCAACAAAGCCTTGTGAAGGGAGAAATGACTTGGCGACACAGCCATAGGGAAGATAAGAGAGAGATAATGCAGTATACGAGAACCCGACTCAGTCTCGCGACATACGGTTGGTCTAAAATTCACATGTATACCTTCCTTCTCAGAACACTCAGTACTGTTTATGCGTGAGAAGCGGAAAAACTGAGGATAACAATGTATCCCATTTACTTGGCCGGCATCTACATAGAAGTGCTGCTCTGGATCAACCCAAAGTTGCCTTCCTCATCATAAAAGCGAAGGTAGGGAGATAAACATTAAGCTTACTTGACTGAAAGAGGCTTGACAAAATCGTTTGATTGCACTTCTCCCCTCTACAACTCGGTCGAGTAAGACACTAGATTACTTCTTTCAACTCATCCATGAGATAGTTGCAAAGGCGTCCTCAATTAATTACAATTGGTATGCAGATAAGAAAAACTGCTTAGGGAATGAAAAATGCACGGAAGGTCAGGGAGGAAGCTGATAACAATGGGCAGAAAACAAACCTGTAAACTAGACTACTCATAAACCCGACCAACGTTTCCAGCGAAAATTCAAAGGAGTTGAGAGGAAGAGGGGTGAATGCACTGCACTGCTCATCGAACGGCAAAAACGAAACCTTTACAACATCAAGAAGGCGCGGATTTCGTGATGAGGGGAAAAGGCAACTTCAATAACAGAACCATGGTCGCATAAAGGTTATGAGTTAAAACAGACAGAGCTTTAAAGTGCCTTTACCGAAGTTCAGAAACGCTCCCTTAGAATTCCAGACTTACCAGCTACGCCCAGTTGGTGAGTGGCGAACTCTGGAACTCGGCACGGACCCTCAGCAAGCCAGCGAAATAATGTCACAGAAAGACCGGTAGCATGATGGAATACCAAACCTGGCCCATGCGGCGAAGGCTCGCATAAACGGGGAATAAGATGGAAATGGTCCTGGTTGAGATAAACCCAGACTGCTGTTGGAAACGAGCGCCGAAGACGACAGAGGTGAAGTAGTTTATCTTAAAAAGATTGTGTTGCACATACAAGTGACTAAGCATACCAGAAATCCCACTGCCCTCTATTGCTCTTGTCGTAAGGTCGATATGAAGACCTCCGTATTTGTCTAGCTTTCCAAGAGAACACATATTCCGCCAAAGCGGATTAAAAATTTGATTACGAAATATTTTTCGCATTTTGCGTTGTCAGCAGGGTGATAGGCTCAAATATTGCCCAAACTCATGGTTGTCAACACGGGTCTGCTGAACTAAGCATAAATGCAGGATCTTCAGTAGGGTCTGTAAAGAAATACATGAGGAGAACAGATGCCAGCGGAGGCTGAATGGCAAAAACAAGCATGGTGGCCGCTAGTAGCAGGTGAAATTCGTCGAAACGGATAGCAGCGACCTCAGTTAATTCGAGATAACATGGCTGTTGACCAATAGCTGTATCATCTCCAGCTGTAGAAACTGCATACATGTTGTATAGTCGTTATAGCTGCACCGTTTTGTCCACCGATGGTCTGAAAGACAAGGGTGGATAGCTACGCATTGAAATTGGTAGCTGATACAACTGGTGCGCTAACACAGAAGTGTCGGTGGACTTTTCATTGGGGGGGGTCAGGAAAGGAAGCCAAGCATTGAAGGCGTCAGCTTTGGACGCATGCGAACAAATGAGCACCCGATTGAGCCATGTCTGTCAGTGTGTGCAACCATTGATGTGTGTATCTGGGTCCCAATCCAAGGAGAAGACAATAACCAGCGCGGCTGAGTTTGCTTTCATTCTTGGGTGCACAGTGATTGTTTGACCTCTACTGACTTGTTTCCACTCTTCGTGTGGTTGTGCAAAAAGGGCCCTCCAGGGAAGTCGGCCAACAGACATAGGTGCACCTGACCAATCCGCCTCAACCTATGGAGTCTGGACACTTCATCTATAATAGGCAAGTCATTTCTCCTGAAAACCATCCGGTGTACTCCAGTGATACTAATCTGATATGTCCACCACAATCTGACAACACCTCAAAAACATTGACAGTCAAACGCTGAGTTTTTTTTAGCATCCCCAACTCATAGCTGCCAGGTCTCAGAGCCCCACAACAACAGGGCATGGGCCACAGAATTGCAAACTCGACCCCTGATAATTGCGTTTCTGTCACGTCTGCACCATGGGTAATGTAGGCTCATAAAGCCTGCCCCAACCTCCCTAATCCGCATGGGAATATAGCCTTTAGCTGGAAAACTTGGGAAGATGTATATGCCCAGGTAAATAAAGTTGTTTGGTATCTCAACCGGTTAATCCGCAAGCATAAGTTTCGGGTCCAAGTCCACCCACATACATAGCAGGACTCTGCACACTGCAGGTGCGCAGATAAAAAGGGTAAAAATAAGATGATCGTTCAGTTGTAACACCCTTTCGGTGTCTATCTGCCATGCCACCTGAAGGAAAGACGCGGGTTGGCGTATTGCCAAGCTGCTCACACCTAGACAGATGTAAAAACACAGAGATCGGGTTCGAACCACGAACCTTCCGGCCAGTAAATCCGCGCTCCAACCACTGAACCATCTATGCAGGTGTAAAGCAAACGCGAAACCGTGGGCAGAAATACCATAGTTCGATTTCGTCCGTATTGAGATCCAAGCACAGTTGTCACCTGTGTAATCTATATTTGTGAGCAAACGCCCTGGCAACGCCACCGAGTGGTTAGAACGCGGATCGAATGATCGGACAGTTCGTGGTTCGAACATGGCCTCTGCATCTCGGCCGCTCTTACCTAGGCTTAGGCATCCTGGCAGTATCCCAGCCTTCGTGCTTCCTTCGGATGGCGTGGAAGCTAGACACCGAAAACGTGCTACAGCTGAATGACCTCGGACCCACACGCGCTGGTCGCTGAGTGAGTCTTCAACGATAACATCAACAATTAACTCCTGACGGTTCATTGATTACTGACTGAAGGTCCGTGGTTCGAATTCAATCAGATCTCGAGTGCTATTGTCCATGCCTGGGCAACCTGGTACTATCTAAGTACTCGTGCTTCCTTTGGGTGGCATGGAAACTAGGCACTGAAAGGGTGCTAAAGCTGGATGATTACTACGAAGTTGGAGTCTAAAAGTGAGAGGGCAGCTTTGTGTGACATCACTCGATGTAGTGAACTCGAGCGAGAGCTTCCTGTGGCATTTAACGCGTTGAGGTGCAGCAGTTCAGGGAGGGTTAAAAAAATTTATGGAGGACACTTTTGCTCCATGGACGCTACCATAATTCTTGGCGATTCACATAATCAAAGGAAAATTTCAAGTTGAGGAAAAGTTGAGGTGGAAGGTGTCGCTGTTCCATAATCTTTCGGAGGGCGGAAATGTGACCGGTGCACTCTCTTTCAGCTTTGTTTAGACAAAACCGCCTCCAACAACGCTTAGTCAACCCTCGAGACATAAGACCAGATAGAACGTTTGGCGCCACAGTGTTCCGTTCTTCAGATACTTTCACTTCCTTGCACATCGCACCAACAAGTTTTGTCAGATGGTTAACCAGGAATCCTATGCTTCCTCTGAGAAAGGGTGGGTACGGACCGTCCGGTCCTGGTGCCTTTTCAGATTTGAGCAGGGGCATTTGGCATTTTGTTTCCACTACTGGTGATGGGTAGTTCGGGTTTACATCTACAGCCCTATTTCCAGGCGATGTTTTGCAGGAAGCCAGCTAAACTGACCTTGGAAGTTCTCAACCCTTCCCCCTTGACCGCGTTCCTTCGAGAAAGCTAATGGGCCGTCTTCTGCACTTAACGTTTCATTAACACTTTTTTTATTTTGGCAGGTCGATCGCAATAAGTAGCTTTCTGGTCTTTCACTGTCCAAAAAACCCACAACCTTTCCACAGACTCTTCACTACTTGGTGTTTGAGGGGTTCGCGTGGATCGTCACACTCATTGCGGGCTAGTATGGGTTTCCTGGCATTCATCAGGACTAGCAAACTGGACGGTGTCCATTGATAATTTGACTAAACGGGAAAAGTCGAATAGTCACCACTGAACACAGACAGCATTAATTCATCCAAATTCTATGCAAATGAAATATGAAGAAAAAGCACGGTTCATCCACGCGCTCGCTACTCGTACATTCTTGGTTCACTGCAGAGAACAGTCGACCTAGCTCGTATCGATACTGCTGAGCTATAGGAGTTTTCCGATTAGGGTGAACTGGTGCGCTTCTTGCTAACTTATGAGGACCTGAAGGGAAGTGAACCGTTAAGCGTGTTCACACCAGTGATCGGTGGCTGATAGCCATTTATGGCACGCGGGCTAGTTGCAGTACTCGGACCCGACTACCACGTCAAGGCGGTAGCTTCTATTTAGGATTCACTTATATTGTAGCAGAATAAATAATAATGGTTCAGCTGTAACATCCCCTCGGTGGCTAGCTGCCGTGCTACCCGAAGGAAGCACCAAGGCTGTGATACTGCAGGGGTGCCCTCCACTGAGCCATCCAGCCCCCGTTTCTGGAGTATGACCGCTATGGAGGCACCGAGGGACGAAGATTCTCCGATTCACGACAAACAGTAAAGTAAAACAGAAAGGAAGCCCATGAGCCGGGGCCCAGTAAACAACTTTGTACATCACCAATGCTTACATAACAATCAATCCAAATGGCAGGTCCCGTACACTAGAGTAGGCGTAATGTCGCGCGAAAAGCACCCCAGCAATTAGCAATAACCAGTAAGCCTAATTCGTGCGATTGGTTGGAAGAGTAGCCGCTCGCCAAGCCGAATCTTGATTGGTTTAAAGTGTAGGACCAACAGCCAGTCTTCTTCCACGTTTCATTTCAGGAAGGTTTGGAAAACCGTTGGTGGATTTGATAAATATTCTCTGAGGAGATGGCTACCCAATCGGTCCCAAACATTTTCCAGTTGATTGTTCTAGAATGCTTCAAGTTCCGGTTGCCGAAGCCACGTGCAGAAGCTCATCCTTGGACGCACACCCCAAAATCTTGAAATTATAGCATTACGAGGGATACTTCTACATGAATTTTCGTGGTTGTCAGTATTTATTCGAAAACTTGAAACCAGAAACGTTTGACTTGGGGGACGACTCCGCACTCTTGTCGGTCCGAATGAAAGGCTCTTTTTTCATCGGTAAATCTGCAGTACCACGGTCATTATATTGCCGGCGGCTGGAGGCACAATCCATTTTTTGTAAAACCCCTGCGGGTGAAATAAAAACTTTAACGTCAGAATGTTGCACTTCTTTGCATATATGCGTAGACTGAAAACCCTCCTCGTCTGCCGTCATTTTTTGCGATTTGTTTTAATCGATGTCATTTGAAAATTATTGGCGCACATTCGGCTTTGAACTTCGTCTGCTATGGCTTCGGAAGTGGCTTTCGTTGAGAAATTTGTGGGTGTATCATTTTCATCCTTCACGGCATTTGAGAAGACCTTAAATGATTACATGAAGGATAACTTTGTGATATTTGTGCGTTCATCCAGTAATCGAAGCACCAACACTATTTTGCGCTACGAATGGGTGTACTACAAGTGCAGCAGGCGCCCTCCAAGAAAAACGGAAAGCCGTGGAATCCAAAGAAGCTAGTAAGCCGAGCGTATTTTCTAATAAAAAAGTACGCGAAGCACCAGCCATCTAGTGCGGTTTTGTCTACGGAGGCAAAGGAACCAACTGGAACACAACCACAAACTGTCAGTGTTTCTGTACGATCGGCTTCCAGTCAATTGACGCCTAACCGAAGACGAGTTGGGCACATGTCAGGCCCTGTTGAGACATGGAACGCCGTCATCTGAGGTGCGGCAGTTTGTGGCGGATGAATTCGGAAAGATTCTTACAACTAAGGATATACACGACTACCGCCGTAAGTGTCGACCGGCTATGTTGAGTAGGTGCTTAATGGTTGGATTTTAATGTAGCAGACGATATGCCTTCGGTCCTGGCAAAACTTCGGGAGACCGGACGCGCTCTTGTGTGTCAGGGAGAGGAAGGTCACTATAGCCACATATGTTTCTCCCGATGGCAGCAGATAGCGTTATTCCGACGCTTTCCCGACGTAGTGAATGTGGACGGGACACATGCAACAAACCGCCTTGGGTAAGTTTTTTTAAAGCATCTAATATTCGGTATTTAGATATAAACTATACACATTCTTGATAACGGACGGCATGGGAACCGGGCGTCCGGTTATGTATGCGTTCGTAGAGAGCG